GCAGGGAATTCGAGCCGGGACGTGAACTTCAGCGCCCAGCAGCCTGGGCTGCTTCCTGCAGGCCAAGATCTAAGCAGTGAGCTCACCTGGCTGCCACACGGGGTCTGTCACAGAGGGGGCCTTGGGCCACAGTGCAGAACCACAAATGGGCAAGCGGTGTGGCAGGGCACAGGGTAACAGTGCTGAACAGGCATCACTATGACTTCTGTCGAGTCCCTTCTTTTCCTCAGGGTGATCTGCCACTTATAGTTCCCATTTTGTGAACTTCCTGATGGTTTGTTTCCTCTATGTGTTTTCTATTGAGGTGTTAACAATTTTCTTATTGGTTTTCGTGCACCATTTCCTTTCCCAGCTCAGTGAGCTGGGGGAGGACCCTTCCCCCATCTTCCCTCCAACACTGCCTCCCAGTCCCTGGGGCTCCAGGAGTGCCAAGATGGTAGGGGTGTGGGCGGCTGCCAAGCTGTCCTTGGCGATCCCTCTGATGTCTACCAAGGTCCTCGTTTCCATCTGACCCCGTCCATTCACACAGTCCCTGTTGCCATTTCCCAGTCCAACAGTAAGGCCTCCAGGCGGTGAAGTCTGTGGGTCACTCTGCTCTCTTGGGCACCCAGGAAGTCTGTTCCTCGCTCTCTGTCCACACCATGGCTGTGACATTCCATGTGACATTTCTAAATCCACTGGGAAGGGGTCTCTGGGCTCTTCTCCCTTCCAAGGGTCTATTAAGAAACTGGCTCTGGGCCGGGGATTTAGCTCAGTGGTTTCGCCACCTGCTGTGCAAGCGCAAGGACCCGAGTTCGATCCCCCATACCAAAAAAAAAAAAAGAAACTGGCTCAGTTCTTGGATTCCTCAAGCCTGAGTCCCCCTCGCCCCCATAACCTGTCTAACTCACTTCCTTTCTCTCCGCTCCCTTCTGCCTCCAACCCTGAGAGACCTTAAGCGTAGAGCCTGGGTGGGAAGCCAGGTTGAGCAATCACACATCGTATCCAAATGAACCGGCTTCTGCGTTCTGGGATTTTTTGTTTTGTTGCATTGTGCTTGGTTTTGCTTTTTTTGAAACCTGGAAGCCAGGTCTGGACATTCTTATTGTTACTTCTGAAGCCTCCCTACCCAAAAACATGGGGGACAGGGCAGAGAGAAATAGAGAAACACAGGTTACCCTGCTCCAGTTGTGCCCATGGCACCTTGGAAAGGCAGATGTTTAAAAGACGTATGCCCACATTTTTCACATAGACCCACATTTTTCCTTACCTTTCCTGCCATTTGTGTCTATGCTTAGAACACCCAGACCATTTTGAAAGCCACAACCCCACACTAAGTGTTCTTTTCTGGCTTTTATAGTTCCATGTTGCATTGTTCTCCACTATATGCCAGTAAGGGACTTTGTCCTTGTCATTCGAAGTCACACCCCAACTTTCTGCTCCTCCAGGCAGCCTCAACTTCTCTGGAGGAGGACTGGATCACAGGGTCTCAGAACTGGAGGGAACCTCAATTGTCACCTGGACCCAGCACCCACCCTGGACAAGCATTCTTTGTGTGGAATCTTGGCGTGGTATTGTCTGCACACCGTGGGGAGCTTATTACTTCAGAGGCATGATGCAGTATGGCTGGTGGACAGAAAGCTTTCCTTCTTAATTCACCCAGACCGGGGACCTGCTGACCCTGTCAAGTCTAAGGAGCCCCACTGTGGGCTCTGTCTAGGGCAGCTGTCCTCCCTCCCGAGGTGGCCTCTGTCTACCCCACTCCTTCTCTAGTGAACACAGAAGTCAGAGCTGGGCCCCTCCCCTGGATTCATAGAATCCTGTCCCTGGGCTCCTTCTGAGTCTTAACCAGCTGTCCCTGGGAGGTCCCTGCTGAGGGAGCTGAGTGAGGTCCCTGCTGTGATCTGCTGGGTAGGAATGCGGCTTGGAAGTCCATCAACTGTCCAAGCCACTGCTCACCTGAAATCTGAGATATTTGTCACATAAATGAAAGCTGCTCTCAGCCTGACCTGCTGACCTTTCGTACTAAAATTCAACAGCAGTAGAGAGAGCGCTAGAGGGAGGAGCCAAATTCTGGGATTAGGCAGACAGCAGGGCCAAACGCTGGCTGCCAGCCACTTACCTAACACGAGGGAAAGCCTGTGCCACCCTGGCCTGCTAATGTTGTTTCTGCCAGCTTTGGAGGCTGAGATTATGAAGTGCAATTATACCTGCTCTCCAGGTCCCTGGAGGGATTAGGGAACAGGGTTGTAGGCGCTGGCCAGGTGCGCTTTCTTAAATTGCAGCAAAGCCTGGGTGTTCTTACTGTCAACAAGCACCCACAGTGGCAGCACTTACTTTATTTGGAAGAAAAGACAAACACCTGTGATCAATGATGGGTGATATTGATTAGAAGGTATGAATATTGACTAGAACGTATGCCTTATTGATTAGAGGGGGATTTAGTCTATCAGAGGAAGGAAAGGTCTCATTGTTAGTAAGCAGAGGTAAATAGGGTCAAGCCAGTAGATTCAAGAGAACTGCACAGGTCTACAGGCCAGAAAGAGAGAGGAGGCTGCCAGCTTGTGAGCTGTTTGCAACCCCAGGGGGAGGACTCGGAGCCTGGGCAGGTCCGTCCACAGTGTCTCAGGCCTGGCAAAGACTCTTTTGTTAAGATAACAAGGCATTGAGAAAAGCCACTGCAAACTAGTCCATAGCAAATAGAGATGGGGATGGGGCTTGGGAAGGAATCCCGTGGGTCCTGCTGGTTCCTCCTTTTCCTGTTGACTCTGGGCGGGAACTGTGTAAACAGCCAGGGTTGTGGGTTTATGTGCTGCTCTGCTGGGCTGCTGGAGGCCACCGCTGCAGGGCTGGAGCAAGGGCCAGCCAGTGGGGAGAGTGTGGGCTTCGGAGAGAGCCAGGCCTGGGTTTGTGCCCAGCTTGACCTCCTGGGACCCATCACACGGGGCTGAAGACCCTCCCTTGCAGAGTTCTCACCAGGACTAGACAGGATGACAGATCAACATGACTGCAAAAGGCTGCATGGTAATGTTGTCTGACACGATCCATCTCAGAGCAGCCACGGAGCCCACCAGCTCCTGCAGAAAAACATGCAGGCAAGACAAGGTTCGAAGAATTCCATGCTCCTCTTTATCCCAGTGTGGCCTCGGGCAAATCACCTACCCTCTCTGGGCTTCTACTTCTCTGCTTGTAAGACAGGAAAGCAATCTCCCTTCTGCAGGGTCCTCCTGAGGCTCAGGGGTGACATCTTAGTGTAGAGTCCTGGTGTGGCTGGGTGGGGCACTTTGCCCATCAGGCATCTATGGCCGCACAGCAAGCAAGTGAGCCAACTGCTGGTGATTTAAAACAACAAACGTGGATTATCTCGCAGTGGCTGCAGGTTGGGCGCTAGGCATGGGCCAGCTGGGTGCTACTGACTCAGGGCCTCTCGGGAGGTTGCAGTCCACCTGGGAGCTAGGGTGGCAGTCACCCGAGAGATCCACGCCCAAGATCCCTTGCGTAGCTGCAGGCAGACCTCGATTCCTCTTAGAGGACTTCGCATCAGCTGCCTGGGGTCCTTATGACATGGTAGCTGGTGATGCGCATGTGTGACAGAGACAGAGAGATGGACAGAGACACAGAGAACCTACGGCAGGAATCACAGTTTCTTTGTAACCTAATCTTGGAAGGACCTGTCCTTCACAGGGGGCTCTTTGGAAACCACGTGGAGATTGCTGCCTTGGTGGGGGTGGGAAAAAAGGAGGCTGACACCTTCCCTCTATGGAGCAGAAAGGGCCACCAGGACACTGGCTCTCTGCAGCTGTAAGCTGTACCACGTCTGCCCCTCTATCAGATGGGAACGCAGCCTTGCCTAGGCGGCCTTACAGGCTGTGTGTGAGCAACTGACCACATGGTGCCGTGTAACTTTTCAGATGAGGATGCCACCCAATGTCACATGCCAGTTGGTGTTACTGCATCATTAAGAGATCCTCGGGAGAGAACTAGTAAAAAGCCACCCCTAAAGCCCCATGGTTCAGACATGGTCGTACACACTTTGTAACCCCAGCACTCTGGGAAGCTGGGGCAGGATGATTGCAGCTTTGAGCTCAGCCTGGGCAACTTAGTGATTTAGTAAGACACTGCCTCAAAATAAAAATAAAAAGGGTGAGGAAGTAGCTCCATGTGAAGTCCCTGGGTTCAATCCCTAGTACTGCAAAAACAAGCAACAGACAGACACACCCCACAGGACCCCATCCATAGGGTGAATGACACTGAGTGAATGACAACACATTGTCAATCACTCAAAATCAGTTTTCTCTGAACCCTCAACCAGCCTGGGCAGGGGAGTGTGTATTCATCATTCACTCATTCATGCATGCATTCATTTGCTTGTTCATTCACTGAGCCCCAAGTATGTTCAAGCCCCTCATAAGCCCATTCTCCATAATATGAACAATTCTATTTTACTGACTCTTTGCCAATGAGGAAACTGAGGCTCAAAAAAACAAAAATGAACAAATGCCTCCCTGTGCTCAAACGGTTACTGATGACTCAGTCCAAAGGTCCCCTGCACAGCCAGGCTCCAGTGATCTCTGGGAAGGCGGTCACCCTGGCCTCAGTCACCCTAGTAGGCATTTGTCACCCTGCACTGTGACTACCTGTCCCCAGGTGCTCAGAAAACACCAGTGCTACGGTCGCCTTGTAGAGAGGCCCGTGACAAGGGTGCAGACGGGCTGGAGCATGGTCCTGTCCTGCCCTGCTATGTGACCTGGGTAACTCTCAGGCCCTCTCAGAGCTTCCAGCTTCAGTGCTCTCTCTCATCCACACAGTGGAAACCAGAAATTGTGAACTGAAGCCCAGAGGTCTCGTCTAGGCTCTGAATATGTTTATGGCTCATTCAGTGTTTAATTTTATTCTAAAATTAGTTTCCAGCATTTTTTTTGGAGACAGGGTCTCATTATATAGTTCAGGCTGGCCTTGAATTTACTGTAATCCTCCTGTACCACCACACCTATCTCTAGCATTTAAAAATTACCTCTTCATGAAATTTAAAGTTTTCAGCCTTTATTGAGAATGCGGAGACCTGTATGCTGGACCCACAGTCCCACCTACGACAACTGGCTGTTTCTCCAGCAGGGTGCCTCTCGCTCCTTCACTCCTGGTGTCTTCACCTGCTTATGTCACCTGCTCCATCCCACAGGTACTTGAGCTTGCAATTTCCTCAGTGCTTCTGAGCCTGCAGAGACTGACTGTTCTTTGGCTGAGGCCTAAAGGTGCTATGACAGGCTCCGGTGACAGCCACCATCAGCATCCTGGATGAGAAGCCACTTGGGCTGGTGGGGAGAAGGATGACGTGGTCTATGAATACCTGGGAGCCAGGTGAGTGCATCACCTGTGTGATCTCACCTGGGCCTGGCATCCTCAAGGGCTGGGCGTGGCTCAGCATGGCTCAGCATGGCTCAGCTGGGGGCTCTCCCTCCTTTTGACATCGCTGGTGAGACCGTAGCCGAGCCTGGGGGAAGGTGGAATTTTCTCTAGCTCAGACAGGAGGCAATGATGATGTCTAATTTTTCCAAAGAAGACAGGAGGAGTAATAGGAAGGAAGAAAGGAAGCTGGGGGTGGGGGGATGGCACCACTGACGGCTCCCCTGTGCTATCCTACAGCATCAGACCCCAACCTGGCTTCAGGGCCCTGTGTAACTGGACTCCGCAGGGCCTGCTGCTCATGCTCTGTATCATAGACTTTCCTTGAGGTGCTCTGAGCCCTCCCAGGTAGACTGGCATTGGCTCATTCTCCACTGGAGCCACCTCTTCATATCTTTGTGCCTCTGTCCCTCAGACACAGTCAGTCTAAGTTGTCCCCCCACCCCACCCCCATCAAAACCATCTTCCCTGTCCCCAGGGGACCCAGCTCCACAGCCCTAGCTATCTCCTGTTTCTGTGGAGCTTTGCTGTCTGCCTGAGGCTTCTCTTTTGCCCTCTTCCAATTCCCATTCCTGATGACAGCAAGGAGAGCTTGACAGGCAGTAACCTTCACCTTGGAGCCAGACAGAGCTCCCGGGCTTGGTCCCATCTATTGATGAGCTCAGGGCTGGGGAGGGCAGTGAGGGCAGAAATGGCCACAGGATGGAGGCAGCTGTCCCTGGGGCAGGCTACTCACACAGCACTGGGGTGGAGAATATACTTGGGACCCCCAAGAGCAGGCTGGAGGGACAGGGTCCCACCGATCCCCTCAGTGCACTGAGGGGTGTGTGAGCAGGAGCCCAGAACTGGCTGCAGGGGGCTTTGGGATTTTAGGAAGCTTCCCAGCAAGGCCTATGGAGTGACTCCTCTCCTCTGCCCCCAAGCCTGCAGTGTGCACGGAGATCAGGGGTCTGGGAGAGGTGCTAAGGGCTCAGGAGGGCAGGGAGCAGGTGGGCTGCCCCAGTTAGGCCTGTGCACTTGGGGACACAGTCACAAGGAAAGAGGGGCCACTCCCCAGGGCAAAGGGACGGCCCATCCCATATTGGGACAGGGGGACCATTGATGGCTTCACAGGGTTATTCAACACTACTCTCAGCCTGCCTGGTGGGACCCTGGCAGGGTTTCCCTGAGTTCCTAGGCCCCTCCAGGACCAGGAATATAGAGAATGGGCTGTCAAACTTCTTATGGGACCAGGACACTGCTTTGACCTCATGCATTTGCCAGGGCAGGCCTCAGCTGCCCTACCTCTGGCCACGAGCTGATTCAGGGACTGGGGAAGATCAGTCCAGAGTGGGTCACAGCTCCAGCCCACCTCCTCCAAAGCTCAACCCTCAATCCCTCTTTGGCCCCTCAGGCTTGGAGCCCTTGCAGTGGAGACCCATGGCTCTCCGAACCCCAAACCCTCAGAAGTAAGTCTAGGCTCTGTCCGTCACGGGTGCTCATGGGCCCAGGATTTGAATCCCCTCTCCTCTCTGGCTCATGTTATCCTCGGCACAAACTCAGATGGAAGGGGTAAGGATCAGCATGGTACCCTCTGATCTGGGAGGACTGGCACAGCCTGGCAATGGGTCCCAGGGTTCTCTAGGCTTGGCTAGTGCTGCTTTTCTCTGGGCTTCAGTCTTCCATCTGCAGGGTACAGGTCTGTTCCAGGGCAAGAATTGGGCCTGGCTAGGTTGGTGGGGACAAGGGCTCTCCTCTGTGGGGTGTGGAGGAGGAATGGGGCCTGGCAGGAGCACTGGCCCAGGCTGCATTTCCTGTCTTCCTGGGAGAGGGTTTCGGCTCTGAAAGCAACAAGGGACAGGCCCAGGCCAGGACAACAGCATGACCTCGTGGGCTGACTTGGGAGGTGTCGCTGCTTATCTGCCTCCTCCAGCACCTCTCCCTCTCTAATCCCACCTCTAGTCAGTCAGATTTCTCAAACCTTCAGTGCTAGCCTCTCCCTTGCTCTGCCTGTCTGCAGGTCTATGTGGGAAAGGGTGACAGGAGGTCTTACACACAGAGGGGGCATAAAAATAGAGTTTTGTTATGATATTTAAATGCAAACATATAGATACTAGTATTTTTAAGTTAACCACGTCTTAGCATTTTTTTTTTTGAAAAATCTATTGGGATCCCCTCAACAATGGAACTCTGCCCCTTTTGCATGATTGTGTCTAGCCCTCCTGGTCTATGGTACATTCGGAGGGCCTCACGCTCCTCAGCCCCGAGAGCCGGCTGTGTTGCCCATTGCAGCCGGCAGGGGTCGCCCGCGGACAGGCCTAGAGGGGGCGTGTCGGGGGCGTGTTGGAGGCGTGGCCGAGAGGTCTGCAGAGCCAATAAAAGTGGCGGCTTGGCGCTCGCGAGGATAGCTTCTAGCGCTCGACCCGGGCCTACCTGCCCCACTCTGCCTGCCAGCCCGTTTCGGTCGGACACGCGTCCGCGATGCTGGCGCTGCGCTGCGGGCCCCGCCTGCTCGGCTTGCTCTCCGGCGCCCGCTCCGTGCCGCTGCGCCTCTCTGCGGCCCGTGCCTGCAGCGGCGGCGACACTCGCGACCCGACCCCTTCCTCCGGGAACCCGCTCGTGTACCTGGACGTGGGCGCCGACGGGCAGCCGCTTGGCCGCGTGGTGCTGGAGGTGAGGCCGCTTCCCCGGCGGAGCCTGCGGGCGTGGGGCGGGACGATCCCGGGGCTGCCGAGAGGCCCGGCCCGGCGTGCTGCCTGGTGCGCGGGTGACCTTGGGCCTCCCGCTTCCGGGGCCTGGGCCTTAGTTTCCCCGTCTCTGAGAAGGGCCATCGGCTTGGACTTCCAGCCTCCCTGGGAATAGCCGGGGGGGGGGGCGGAGGCGAGGCGCGGTGATGGAGGAGGCTCAAGGTCATACCGCGGAGGGGGAGGGCCAGCTCAGGCGGCCGGCCGGGCTGGAGGGCTCCGAGGTCGGCGAGGTGGGTGCCGCGGTCCCCGGGGCCGGTGGCGTGGCCGTGCGTTCACGTGGCGCCCCTTGTGTAACGCGTCGCGTGGCCCGCCCCGCCCCGCCCCGCCGACTCCCACCTTAGGGTAATGAGTGTGGCAGGCCACTGCCTGGCCGTCGGGGCACCAGGTGGGCCGGGGAGGCCCTCGTGTCTGGTGGTGCCCCAAGCCCAGCCACCTTTCTGGGGCCCACGCTCAACATCAACCCCTATTTCTTTGGACCATTTTTAAAGCGAAGCGAGAAACGTTAATTGCCAAGGTAGTGGGGAAGCTCTAGTGTGTGTGGCGTTCAAGCCAGCCCCACTTAGAACCAAAGGGCCAGTTGCCCTGAGGGAGCCCTGGGTATTTCCTGTTGAGCCTGTCTCCGCCTCCAGTGGGAGGCGCCCTCCGCACCTTGTTTTGGTGTAAGAGTGAATCTTGAAGCTGAGCTGGAGGGGCTGCCGTGCGCGGGGCCCCCACCTCCCCTACCTCCACCCTCTTGCCCCTCTCTGGGCCTCAGTTTCCCTTCTGTGCGCTGAGGGGTGAGACTGGCTCTTCCTTGGTCTGGGATCTGAGCTGCCTCCTGCAGCCCGGGCTCAGGAAGCAGCTGCCCGAGTGATAGCGGGCTCAGGGGCTGTGCTGTGGGTTGATGGTGACAGGGCTGGCTGTGTGGCTCTTTCTCGGGCCTTGGGCCTCTGTGGACATCGGGTGGCCGGGAGGCTCCTTCCTGAGCCTGCCTCAGCACTCACTGTTCTTTGTTCCTCTTCCCTGCCCACAGCTGAAGGCGGATGTCGTCCCGAAGACAGCGGGTAAGGCAGCGCCGGGCCTTGAGTCTGGCCTGGATAGAAGGGAGTGGGCAGGCAGGTCGGGTGGGTGGGGAGGAGTGGGCTCCAGGGAGGCTTAGCTGCCGGGTGCTCTAGGGCAGCCTCTCTCTCTCTGGGCCTCACTGTTGGCTCTGCCCACCTCTCTGTAGCACTGGGAGCCTCAGAACCAGGGGAAGGCACATGCAGATTCCCAGGGACGGCTTCTCCTCCTCCTGCCCAGTGGGTGCGATGAGGACCCAGCTCCTGGGCTCCCTGCCCCACTGACCTGGCAGGCTCAGCCAGGAGTGTGTGCTCTTGTCACAGTGTTTGATCACTGGGGTCAGGGGAGAGAGATGACTCGTCCCAGTACCAGTTAGTCTGGCAGAGCAGATCCGGCGGATGGGCTGGGTCCTCCCCAACTCCCTCCCGGAGGGTATTGGGGTACAGGTCTGTTGCCTTCCTCTCTCTTCCCCCGCTCCCTGCAGAGAATTTCAGAGCGCTGTGTACTGGAGAGAAGGGCTTCGGCTACAAAGGTTCCACATTCCACAGGGTGATCCCGGCCTTCATGTGCCAGGTAACATGACCCTCCATGACTCCGTCTCCCCTTCTGTGCATGGGGTGTTGATGGCCACTGCTTGGGGGCTGCTAGGAACATTAGTGAGCCTGCAGGTGCATGGGGCACAGGAAATACTAAACCAAGCTGCCAAGGTGGCCCCCTGGCTCGTGCTCACCCTGGGGGCTGCAGGTCATCCAGGCTGGGAGGGCCCTCTTCTGCCCTGGAAGTTAAGCAGCAGGCCTGGAGTGGGACAGCCCTGCCCAGCCGAAGAGGGGTTAACAGTGCCAAGGAGAGCCAGGGTTGGGGAATGGACTTGTGGTGGAGGGACCTTAAGGCTTTGAAGGACCAGCAGAGTCGCACAGTCTCTGTGGCCCCTGAGCCCTGGGCATGGGAGATAGAGGAGAAAGAGGAGGAGCAGGGAGACCAGGCCCAGCTGGCATGTACATAGGGCTGGGAGCAGCTTTTCCCAGCAGAGGGCATTGTTCTCTATTGTGTTTATTCTTTGCTCATGTGCCCACCTTAGTATTGCTGAGCCAGAGCTTTGGGGATGGGTGTGGGCAGCAAGAATTTCCCAGGGGTCTGGACCTCCGAAGTGCTCAGGGTTATCCTCTGTTTCAACAGACCCTCAAGGTCAAGGTGTAATGTCCTTGGGGCCAACAGAGCCTAGAGGACCTCTCTGAAGTCCTTTCTGCCCAGAATTCTCTCCCCTTCCCCGCACCCTGACTCCGTGGCTGCCGCCATGGTGTGTGGCAGTGAATGGGGACTGGGCCTGCTGACACTGCTGCCTGGATATGCACGGAAAGTGGCCAAGGCAGGGAGGGGCTTACGGGGCTGTGGCTGTGGGACAAGCCTGGCCAAGCCCTGTGGCCTTTTCTGCCGCAGACGTTCCCGGTGCCACCTGAGTCAGGAGCCGAGTCAGCTCTCTGTACTGGCTGGAGGTCCCTGGAGGCCACGTGCCTGGGGACACCTTATTGGTACCTGCTGATGCTTTGGCTGGTCTGGGGAGGTCATCTCTGTCGACTGAGGGTGCTGTCTCAGGAAAATCAGTGTGGCCGTGGCACAGCTGGTCACCGAAGTACTGCCAGGGCTGCCAGGACCTTGGGCGAGCTCTGAGGAAGGGTGCCAGCCCTGGTGGGCCCAGTCCTGGGTCTGACTGGGTTTGTGAGGGGGGGTTTGGGGACAGGGAGAGGGACCCAGCCTGAAGACCTGGTCAGGCTCAGGGATGGGCTCCTGGCCACCTCCTTGTTGCCTTCTAAGAGTTGGCGGTTGCAAGTCCTGGGTTACTAAGCATCATCTCAGAATGGCTTTTTGGTCCTTTCAGAGGTGTTTAAAAGCTTGCTCAGACAAGACGATATTGTTCAGGAAGCAGGATAGTTGTTATAGCAGAAAATATTAAACCTTTGCTTATTTGCCTTACTATCTCATGGATCCTTATTTCCTTCGGTGATTGTTGGCCCTGTGGCCTGAGGGACTTCAGGCAGGTGGCCCTGGGGTGGGCTGGGGCTGGTCCCATCAGCTGTGTGTGGCAACCACTCAGAAGTCATTCTGTACACAGGGGGGTGACTTCACCAACCACAACGGCACGGGGGGCAAGTCCATCTACGGGAGCCGCTTTCCGGATGAGAACTTCACGCTGAAGCACGAGGGGCCAGGTGAGTGGGAGCTGCGTCCCCCTCGAGTGTCCACACTGAGGCAGCCTGGAAGGCTCCAGGCCACACTGCTCTGTCTCTGTGATACACCTCGCTTCCTCCAGCATCTGGTCTGCTCTTGTTTCTGGCTTCCTAGGTTTCCCTAGTGCTTTCTCACCCCACTCAGTTTCAAAACAGCCATACCTTGGGGAGCCTGGTGGAGAGCCTTTAAACAGAACCCCATAGTGGTGTCACCTGTGAGATCCAAAGTGGAATGTGGAAAGCTGCACCACTGAGCACTTCTCTGAGCCCCTTTCTTGCCAGGCCACCTCACTGAGACCTGGCGACAGCAAAGCAGATGAGCCTGGGTGCCGGTTGGTGGCCCTGGTTCCTTTCTGGGCTCAGGATCTGCAGACTTGAATGTCCTGGGGTGCTTTGAGCTCTCCGCGTTTCTGGATGGCCTCCCAGATGACGCTCGTCCTGGGTAGTGTGACCCACTCTTGCTTGTTTCTGCAGGTGTCCTGTCCATGGCCAATGCAGGCCCCAACACCAACGGCTCCCAGTTCTTCATTTGCACCATAAGGGCGGGCTGGTGAGTGGCCCTCTCCAGGTGCTCCTGGGGTATGAGGGTGCCCTTGGAGCTGCAGCAGGGTTCATGCAGGTTTAAGGGAAGGCATGTGCGGTGGGGCTGTCTGCCGTCCCTTCTGGGACCGCGACCTTCGCCTGGGGTGTGTGTCTGGATGAGAGAGCGAAATGACTGTGAGCAAAGTTGGATTGTTCCTGTGACTCTGCCGTAGTTAGACTTCCTGTTTTGCTGTTGGCTGGAATTTGCACATGCATGCACACCCGCGGGTTCCTCTACCACAGACCTTCCCAGCACGGTGGCCTGAGGAGAAGCTGGTCTGCTTGGTTTGACCACGGGTTTCCCAGCCTCTCTTCCCCCCATAGGACTTACCTTGGGAGATGCTGTGGTGGGCAGTTGGATGTCTCAGCGGGTAGGCTAAGCCTGCAGGTGGCTCCCAACCCCTGGCAACCCCTTCCTACAACCCATGGATTCTGGGACCGTCTTTTTCCCTGCCAAACTTTTCACTAAGGGATGTTTCTCTGCCCAGAGCCCCCTGGTGTCCTAGCCCTGGGACATCTGGGTTGAGGGGACAGCAGCTGGCAGGAGCTAAGGCTGCATAAAGCCCCTTTTACAGGATTCTAGGGAGCCGTGGGGAATGGGGTAGTTGCTAGCATCTCTACCTTCTGGGTGAGAAAGAGGGTTGCTAGTCCGGCAGGCCATCACTGACTCCTTCCTCTCTGTTCTTCCGTGGAGCCCTTCATGGGGCCTAGAGTTGTGCCTATGGTTGTCACCACTCTTGACTTCACTGGAGCTACTCCAAGTGCCTGTGCCATTCTCAGAGCCCTTGGCCTCAGGGCTGCTCAGGGCTGCCACATTGCATGCCTGCTGCTTTGGCACTGACTTCATAGTTCCTGACCCGTAAAGGGGTTCCAGTTGTGAGGACTTTGTGCTTTGTTCAGAGTAGATCAGTACCTGTCATCTTCCTGGGCAGAGCAAGAATAGCTCACTTCGCACACACAGGGTTACCAGGATGCAGGGCAAGTGGCCTAGGGCAAGGTCACTGGCACAAGAGTGCAGAATGTGTCCTGGAAGCTGGGAGCCCTCTAGGGCATAGTTGGAGAGCCCAGCAAGACTTTTAAACTTCAGACTTGATCCAGCTGCTCAGGGTGGGGTTCCATTCAGAAATGAAATTTTGGTAGATAGTTACATGACTGAGTGGTCAGCATGTTGGGTGACGTTGCACTCCCCTCAGGCCTGCTCACCGGTCCCCGCTCCTCACAGGTTGGACGGCAAGCATGTGGTGTTTGGCCACGTCAAAGAGGGCATGGATGTCGTGAGGATGATAGAATCTTTCGGCTCTAAGAGCGGGAGGACATCCAAGAAGATTGTCATCACAGACTGTGGCCAGTTGAGCTAACTGGCGGCCAGGGTGCTGGGACAGGAGCGCCTGTGGATTGACCCACCCAGGTCGCCACCAGGGACTCTCAGCCAAGGTGCCCCAAAGAGCTACCTGTGCTTGTCCCACTGCCCTGTGTGCTTGAGGAAGGCTACTCAGGGACACGCACCTCCTCCAGGGCCACCAGCCTTTTGACTCGGGACAGTCTATTGGGGCAAAAGGACTGTGATACCTGTTTACTGTTGTCTTCCTAATTGCAATAATTTAATTAACAAGATAGCCTAGAAATGAAGCTGGGATGTGACCTGGGTTGTGGCACAGGTCACAGAACCCCAGATCCTGGCTATTGTGTTACAACTCAGGACTTGTGAAGCTCCCAAGTTCTGAGGCCTCCGGTTACTGTGAGTCCCATTGGTTCGCTGCTATCAACTCTGAACCTGGAAACAAATCACCTGTGAGCTCCACCCACTCAGTGTGAATTCCTGTGTGGGAATGGAAGTGACCTGTAAGTGCCCCGGTTCTGGAGGAAAGTATTTCCTGTGGGCTTTACTTTTTCAATGTGTGTTGGATAAATCCAATCTACTGATGATGTATATAAAAGATTTCTGGAACATTTGTGTTCACCTTAAATGTGACAATAAATCCTATTTTGTATAAGACTGGTGCCTGTGGTTTTAGAAAGAAGTTCTCTAACTTAAATATTTAAAGCTTAAATTTTAGTAAGTTGTCATGTGTCTGGTGTGATGCAAAGGACTTGTTTTTTCTCCTGGTGTTGGGGATGGAACCTGCGCCTCAATAATGTTTGGCATATGCTCGACCACTTCTCCAAAGATGTACCGATGGCCAAAATGCACACGGGAAGAAAGTGGACAGCCTTAGCTATCAGGGAAATGGAAATCAAAGCCCAGTGAGATACCACTTCACACCCATTCTGAGGGTTCGTATCAAAAAGCCAAGTAGTAACAAGTGTTTTCAAGGATGAAGAGAAACTGAAACCTTCATACTCTGATGTTTGGAAAACAGCCTGATAGTTCATTAGATGGATTTAACACATGACTCAACAATTCCATTCATAGGTGTATACCTAAGAGAAAGGAAGACATAGGTCTACACAAAAACTTGCACATGAATGTCTATAGCACTGTTATTAACAGTCAAAAAGTAGAATCAACCTGTTTTAGCTTTTCCATTACTGGGATAAAATACCTGACAGCCACAACTTGAAAGAGGAAAGGTTTATTCTGGCTCACTCTTCAGGGGGTTCAGTCCATGGCTGGTGGCTCCTACAGAAAGAGCACGGTGGAAGGACCTGGTGAAGGACAGAGATTATCCTGTGGCAGGAAGCAGAGAGCGGAGCTGGGGACAAGAATATACCCATGTCACACCCCCAGTGGCTACCTCCAATCAGGCCCCACCTCCTAGCAGCGCATTCAGCCATGAACTCATCAATGGATGAAACCACTGGTGAGAACAACACGCCATGATCCAACCACCTACTAAAAGCTGCACTTCTGAACACCAGACTTTTGGGGGACATTCTAGATCTAAACCATACCACAACTCACAGGCCCATCAGTGGCCAAATGTACAAACACGATGTGATATATCCATACAGTGGAATTACTGGGCTCTAAAAAGGAAAGAAATACTGATGCTTGCTCCAACTTGGAAAAACTTTGGGAATTGTATGCTAAGTGAAAGAAGTCCGTCACAAAAGGCCACGCACTACATGGTTCTACTCATAGGAAATGTCCAGTGCAGGGAGGTCTGTAGAGATAGAAAGTAGATTTATGGATGCTCAAGGATGGAGGGGATAATTGATGGAGATGCCAGTGGGTGGTAACTAAAGTGCATGAACCTTCTTCATGGGACGATGCTAATGTTCTCAAGTTCACCTTTGGGGTAGTTAAGTATATCTGTGACCACACCAGCAACTATTTTAATGGGTGAATTGTATAGGATGTGAATTGGACCTCAAGAAGCCTGCTTCTAAGTGTGTAGTAGCAAAGTCTCACAATTCTTTGGGTGTATAAGCTGTCTCTTCCCCTTTCAGAGCAGCGATCCCAAGTGAGATCATCACAGTATTGTTGAACAGAGCAGCCTGTTCTCAGACACAGGAGGGCAGGCTAATTCCCCCAGTAAAGGAAGAGCCCAGTGACTTGAAAACACAAGTTGTTGGTTTTATTTGGAGCCAACGAAATGCCAGGATCCCCTTCTTTCTCATCAGTGCCCTTCTGTGTGAAAAACTCGATGAGACTGAGTCCACATGACCCTGTGATCCAGCAACCTGCACAATTAGGGTTTTGTTTCATTTTAAGTGGTAAATCAGCTCAGCACCTGCAAGAAATGAGATCCTTTTAGTGTTCACAGAAGCTTTCTGATTCTCAGATTTTAACTTACGCTGAGAATTCAAGAACACAAGTTTTCCATTTTTTTTGGTAAGCAATCAGGCACCTGCAGAATTCGCCCCTCACCACAGTCTTTATGGTCATCACCACTGTCACGATGGTCAAATGCTGTAGACACCTGGCCTCCCGAGGCTCATACTTCTCGTGCTGCAAAGCCACAGGTGACAATGTGACTAATGTGGATGTCACTGCATGCTGTGGATCACTAGCATACCATTTCCCATGGCAAGCAGTTCAGCTCTGCCTCCAAGTCCAGGGGGTGCCCAACAAATCTCCAGACACCATCCGTGGAGTTACCTCCTGGGGCCACTCTTGGTATCAATTGCAGACAGTTGAGATCCAAAGAGGAGACTTGAGACAACAGTGATTCAAACAGGGCACGTGTGGTACCTAAGGGAAAGAGGGGCTGGAGATGCCCTCCAGTGCCCCCTGCTGGTATGCTGGTGATAGGTTAGGTGGCAAGGGCGTGGGGTGTCAGGAACTGGTCACTGGAGGGAGGATTTACAGCTCAGGGACAGCAGAGCCTGGATGCCTGGGTCACTGAGCATTGCTTTCTTAGGCTCAGTGAAATGCTTAGGCCATTTGCATTTAATGTAATGTAAATGGGGTATAACTGAAATCAACGATCTTACTCTTTGTTTTCCCTCTTACTTGGCTTTCATTCTCTTCTTGGATTGAATTTTTTCTTCTAAATGATTTCATTTTTATCTCCACTATTGACTTCTAGATTTAGCTCTTCATTTGGAGTGGTTTCTTTCTTTCTTTTTTGGTACTGGGGATCTAACTTGGGACCTTGCGCTGTGAGACGGGTGCCAGAACCACTGAGCTAAATCCCCAGCCCTGGAGTGGTTTCTTTGGGACTGGATGTATAGTTGTTTAACTTATCATGAAACTGATTGCAAACAATATACCCATTTTACAGAGAGCCTAAGAATTGCGGGGTCAAATGACAACTTTATTTTTAACTTTTTTCTAAAGGAATTGCCAGACTTTTCCAAAAAAGCTCTACTATACATTTCTGCCAGCAATGTATGAGGGTTCTGACTTCTTTGAGTCCTCACCAACCTTCCTGTTATCCTTTTTGTTCTAGTCATCCTTGTAGGTGTGGGCTGTCACTGTGGTTTTATTTTTCATAGCCCCATTGGCTGCCAACGTTGAACACCTTCTCGTGAGCTTATCAGGCAGTTGTGTATCTTCTTCGAAGCAATGTCTGTTCAGATCCTTTGCTTTTTTAAAAATTGTTTTGTGGTTGAGCTGTCAGAGCTCTTTACGCAGTATAGATACAAATTCCTTATCTGATGCAGATGATCCTCAATTTATTATGGCTCGATATTTTAAAATTTTATAATGATATAATGGAAATATTCATTTGTTAGGATCTGTACTTTGAATCTTTTTTTTTTTTTTCTTTGGTACTGGGGATCAAACTCGGGTCCTTGTGCTTGTGCAGCAGGCGGCAAAACCACTGAGCTAAATCCCCAGCCCTGTACTTTGAATCTTGATCTTTTTCTGGGCTAGCAGTGTGTGATGCAGTGCTCTCTTGCAGTGCTAAGCTGTGGCACCGAGCTACTCACTCAGCCAACCACACCATCTGGTAGGTGAACAGCCAGCCCTCCAGGGTACCAGGTTGCTCCACTATGATGTATAGGAGCTTGGACATTAAATGCATTTTTGGCTTTTAATATTTTCAATGTATAGTGGGGTTATTCAGCTGCAACTCCATCATAAATGAAGGAATATCAATTCACAGTTTATATATAGACATGTCTCACTTAAAGAAGAGATGTATTCTGAGAATTACATTAGGTGAGTATGTCCTTGTGTGAACATCATAGAGTAGTTACAAACTGAGAAGGCTACAACAGCGCAAGGCAATGTGATCCTATGGGACTGTGGAATATGTGGTCGGTCACTGACTGTGACTTTACCTTGCAGCGTGTGACTGTTCATATGTCCCAGGCTTCAGAGAGCCTTGTAAATTCTGACCCGTCCTAGCACCAGCCCAAAACTACAAGGGTGACCCCAGGCAGCCCAAAGGCTGTCAGCCCAACATGGATTTCATCCCACGTCTGTCTGGGAGATTGTCAGAGTGAAGACCTCTAGAGGTCAGGGCTCACCTAGGATGCGGGAGAAAGAAAAAAATAAAATCCCCTTTTAATCCCCCACTACAGTACCCGCTTGCCTGCCAGCAGGAAGTTGCAGTTCTCGATTCAGCCACCAGAGGGCAGATGGCAACCAGTTAATGGGAGCAAGAGGAAAGAGAGCTGGGGAATTCTGAGCCCGCAAGTTTGTCACGAGAGAGCAGGCCCCAGAGTTGGAAGTTGTCTCCACTTTGGAGCCCATCCAAGGTCAGATTCCCAGGGAGAAGAAGATCAGGCAATTATATGCTGGCCAAGCGTCCTTTGCCACAGCACAGCAGGGAAACCGAGGCAGAAGCCCGGTCAGAACTAAGCCTACAGAGTGTAGGTACTGGGAGAGGAGGGGATTGGCCTGGGAACCAAGGAGAGCCAACAGGTCCAGGCCTTTCCTGGGGCAAGGTGCGGACTCCAGCTGCGGGCCCCATAGGCTCCAGAGCTTGTGGCCGAGCAGAGGCGGAGGCAGGGCTTGAGAGCCGTGTCAGGGGCCCCATGGCCCAGCTGTCCCGTCACCTCCTGTCAACAACTTGGTTGTGCCTGTGTCCCATGCGTTGTGCTGCCTTGTCTAGTTTACTTTTTTTTTTCTGGTATCGTGCATCGAACTCAGGACCTTGCGCTTGTCAGGCAGGCGCACCACTGAGTTACATCCCCCCCTCTAGTGTACTGTTGACCATGGCCCTTGGGTAGGTAGGTGGGCATTGTCATTCCCGTTTACAAGGGGGGAAACTGAGGCTCAGAGAGGCCCGGTCCATCTGACTCGAGTCCTTGCCCAGGATGATGACAGGGAGGCAGAGATGGAGGTGACAATAGTGCCCGAGCCTCGGCTTTCGAGCAGGACTTGGACCCTACATGGCCCAGCTGGAGGTGGGATGTGGAGGGGCCGAGTGGGTGCTGCTTGGGTGCGGGGAAGGGCCCTCACCTCCTGCACCGATGTGGAGGATGCGCAGGTGCTGGGCCCAGAGCAGGAGGCAAGGAAGGGCACATCGTGGGACAGAAGCACAGGCACTGCGGGCTGGCTTGCTGGGGATGCAGTGGAGACCCGCAGAGCCGCCCTGCCCCACCCCCAGGGCGGCCAGAACTCTTCAGGGACAGACCTGGGGGGGGAGGCTGAGAGCCCCCTGGGGCTGCTGCTCAGCTGCAGGAAGTGGCAGGGTAGGGACCAGACCCCAGACTGCTGTCTCTTGGTGTGGGGAGCAGCCTTGGGAAGGTACAGGGAGGAAAGCTCTCTGAACCTCAGGTCCCCGCTTTGTGAAATGTGAGTCATAGGCTAGGAGGGGTGGTGCATGCCTGTGATCTCAGCACTCTGGGGAGGCTGAGGCAGGAGGAGCACAATGGTGACTCCAGCCTGGGCAATTTAGTGACTTAGAGAGAACTTGTCTCAAAACAAAACACGAAAAAAGGGCTGAAGATGGAGCTTCTAGTGAGAAGCCCTTAGTTTAATCCCTGGTACTGAAACAAAGGTGACTCATCATGGTCCCCGCGCACAGGTCATTGCAAGGTCAAACCACGATGTGCTGGAGCAGTGGATGGCTGTCACACCTCACATCTCCAACCGCTGTGCACTTCCTCGGCGAGACTCACTTGGAGCTCAGCTCCTGACCAGTCAGGAAACAGCACAGTGAAGACCTTGGTGTGGCCAGTCCAATGCTGGCTGGGTTAGTTGGTCTCGGCCCCTCTCCTCTCCTGCCCCCCATTCTGGGTCACTTGGAGACATATTTCCCCCAACCACTGGGTGGTCAGCCAGGATTTTGCTCGCTCTCAGGCAAGGGTTTAGGGCTGGACTCTCTCCTTCCCTAGGGTCCCCAGCTTGCAGGGAAGGAGGTGGGTGGGTTCACAGGAAGTGCGCTTCTTTCTGCTCCGGAGTCTCTTCCCTTTGAAAGTAGCATTGGCTAAGAGGGGGCCAGAAGAGGGCACCCTGGGCTCACGGCTGGGGGAACCTTTCTCCACAGGGACCTTCTGGCTGGGGTGGGCATCTTCATGGGATGGTCAGCTGCCCTTGCTGGGTGTGTGTGTGAATATGTGTGCATGTGGGTGTGACTGTGAGTATGGGAAGAGGTGAGTGTGCCAGCCGGGGAGTGAGCAGGGCCTTTCCTGCCTCCTGGGAATCGGCCCCAGGGTGGATGGTAGGGGAGGAGTTGGGGGCCCGAGGCCAGGCCAGGCTGTTCCTGGCTCTGGCCACAGCACTGTGAGAACAGCCAAAAAGGAGGCTGCCGAGGGAGCCCACCCCCAGCACCTGCCTCCCAAACACACTGGCAGAGGCAGGAATGACACAGGCCTAAGGCCCACTGGCCAGGCAGCATCTGGGAGGGCAGCAAGCACTCGATGCCTACCGGGGTCTTCCAGGCCATGGACGCTGGTCAGGATGTCGGGGCAGAGAGGCCTGGCCTGGCTCCCTTGCGCCCCCCAGCCCAGGGCCCCAGGCGTGGCTGCCTGGGAAATGCTGTTAGGTGGCCAATCGTTGGAGGCCGAGACAGGTTCTATAAATCTGTGTCTGCAGTGCCCTCATGGGTCAGAACCAGCGTGAAACCCAGAGGTGACGGTGCAACAGAGAACCCCACCCATCATCTTGGGGACAGGGCTCTATCCAGCCTCAGTTGCCCCATCTGCCCCGTTGGCATGCTGTCACCTGCTCTGGATCCTGCCAGGACAGGGAGTGAGACACAGGAGGCCAGAAAGGCAGGGTGGCCACCAGGGCCGCCTCCTGCCATGGGGAGCATCTGCCCAGGGCAGGGTGATGGCAAGAGAGAGGCCATCCCGGAGCCATGGGGACAACTGACTGTCCTCAGCTTACGCGTGAGGACCGTGTCACTCATTCTGAGAAGGGTGCCAGGCAGGGTGCTGGCCTGGTCCGCCTCCACTGTGTCGAGCTGACACCAGGGTGTCCCTTACAACCTCACAACCATCCTAGGTTGCTGCTGCCTCCCCACTGCCTTTCCACCTGCCTGGTCTTCTCACATCCAAGACCACCCAGCCTGGGGCTCCCTACTTCCCCCACCTTGGCAACCCTAGAATCTGCCTCAGTGGGAGGCTCAGCTTCCACCCCGAGCTGGGCTGGCTTCTCGGCTCCCCTGGTTCCCCTTCCTGTGCCCACTCCTGGGCCCCTCAGCAGCCAGCTGCCTCTGGAAGTCAGTATGAAATCCAACCGGAAATCCTTCCTGTCCAGCGGAATCATTGCTTTCCCCAGCTCTGGGAGATGTCGAAATGCAGGCTGTGCTGGCTGTGAGCTTGTTCTCTCAGAAAGCAAAACACGCAGATGATGCACATGGACACAGACCTCAGAGCCAGGGCGGAAAGTGGGGCGACAGCCTCAGGCTTGGTGGCAGCAGGACTCTGTCTTGTCTGGTGGTAGGAAGACCTGCCCAGGGGTCCTGAGTTTGAGGCCTGGCTCCCCTCTCCCCTGTGTGGCCTCTGCCTGAGCCGCAGACAATGGGTGGGGGAAGTCACAGCCCCTGGGTCACCTTGGGCGGTCCCAGTGTGAGCAGCATCACATGGCTGGACTATTTGAGCTGCACAGAACCCCACAGGGAGCTGGGCCTTGGAGAGGTGGGTGGGGGCCCCAACATCATGCAGCCAGGCGGAAGGTTTCCAGGGAGCCCTGCAAAGGACCTGCTGGGGTCCCTCAGAAGATCTGTCCTCGGTGTGATGCCTGGTGTCTGGGACTCAAATCCCAGGCTCAACCAAGAAGGCTGAGTACAAGTGGCTGCATGGGGTCCAGGGCTGCGTCTCCAAGGCAGATTCCCTGCTATATATGGTGCCCTGCACTCCGGGCTAGCGTGTGACCTAATCAGCCGGCAATCTCTCCTGGCTGGGGCCCGACTTGGGGAGAGCCTGACCCTAGAGGATGTCCACTTGGGGGCGGAGGGGCCAGGAGGAGCAGACCACTGAACGGAAGCAGAGCAAGGACTAGGTGATAAGATGGCCCACAGCCATCCACCCTGGCGCCTCTGCCTATGAGATGTCCACCCCGGTGCTCTATGTAAACAGGAAGCCCACGAGCCTCTGCGCATTGCAAAGTTCTTTTAATATAGCATGAAAAGGCTATATTTCCAAAGGCAAGGCGTATACAGTCTCCAGGAATAAGGCACACACTGGAATGCCATCCCGAGGGCTGCCCTGCGGGGAGCCAGGCGCTGTCTCCATGCACCCTCCCAGAGGGGCCCACGGGTTCTGTTTGTCTTTTAGCTGGACACACACACGGACATCACGGACACGACAGGGTCACCACACGGGGTGGAGGAGGTCCAGGAGCCAGAGCTGGTCATGAGAGCGATGATCCCAGCTGCCACCAACCCCAGGGGTCGGGGGAAGCACTGGGCCACCTCTCCAAAGGCCGGGACACCTCTCCCTTCGGCGTTAGTTGCTGCACTGGGCTACAATGTAATGAGGTCAGGTTAAACATGTGTTTAGAGTAGATTCAAGTCTATTAGATGCTCTGGGTGACCGATCCAAGTTCAAGAGCAGAACCTGGGGGTTCAGGTAGAAGAGTCTCAGGTGTCACGGGAGGCTGGCTCCCCTCTCTCCATGGGCGTGCTGGCTGGCCCAGGGGCTGGTTCATCTCATGCTTCCTCTTCTACTCATCCCCTCCCTGCCCTCCCCTACAAAATTAATAAAACCATAGTAACAAGGTAATAATAAGAAGGTGCAGGAAAACAGATTACAAGGCTGCGCTGGTTCTCCTCAGTGGAGGGTCACCGTTCCCTTTTTCGCTATGTATCTAATAATAGCTCCCCTTTAAAAAAGCAGTACTTTCCAAAATACACATATGTATAAATACAGGACAAGAGCACATTAATAAGTCTAAACACTGGAATAATATGCTGGCTACTTAATACTGATATTTTCATCCCAGGAAAACAATACAGAATAACAGCAACATGGCTTTAAAGATCTGCAAAGTTTTTTTCTCATCAGAATTATGTACCAACTTCATATAATATTCTATGTAGACAATATTTCCTTCTTAATGTAGTTCAGTTGCATACTTTTTACAGACCAAAGCATAGTAAAAAAACAAACTAAAAAAACAAACAAACAAACCTAGTAACAGGAAAAAAAAGTTCTCACCATAAATATTTTCTTGTAGTTCAACCAGAAGATTTGTAAAAACACTTCCAGAAATCTTTGATATTGTGTTGCCCTCCTAAAAGTTCTGAAGTTTGGAGAATGCTTCTCTTTTTGTTTTTGATTTTTAAAAAATCAATTCTACTTTTCTTTGATTTTTGTTCTTTAAAAAAAAAAAGGCCCTCAAATATATACAGACAGAAATCACTGTGAAGTTTTGGGGTGGGGGGAGGGGTGGACAGGGAGAAGCTACCAAATTCAGTGTTGTGAAAAAAAGTGGTAACCATGCAGAAATTTTAACATCTATGGATTTTTTCCCCTCAAAATACACACATAGTATTTTTGTTTTTTAAAAAAGGAGTTCTGTGTCAAGTATAACTCAAAATAAATACAAATTCACAAGTAGAGCTATCGAATACTTCATATGGGGTAAACACTGTGATCTCTCAACTAGCTGGCTACATCTGCTAACCACAGGCGATTGTCCCTTTTTGAACACGCTAATACCACACGCTCTTATCTCTGGGCCCCTGGGCCCTCTGAGCACTAAGCTCCCACGGCACACAGCCTGGACGGGGGTGTCTTCTGCTAATTACAGAGAGAGAATGCCTCAACAGTGCAACAGGGTTGCATGGAGTGGTTGCCTCGGGCCCACCCGCGAAGTGGCCACCTGCACGGATCTCTGGGCCATGTTGCCCGCTGAGGAGGTCACTTAGGGGTGCCGTCCTATTTCCTGTTGGCCCTGGCTTTCTGTGGTCTGCAGCCTGGGTTCTTTCTCCAGTGTGAGCTTCCCCCACCTTTGCAGCCCAGCTGCAGACCCCAGGCATCCTTGGGCCGAATGTCCCCATACTCTGCTTGTCCTCCAGGTGGACAAGTGCACTGTCTGCCACTGGGAGCATTCTCTTCAGAGGCCCAGCAGGATGACGCCATCTGCAGCTTCAATGCAGTGCTGGGCTGGGGAGTCTCCAGTGGCAGTGCCCAGTGTGGCTGGTGCCAGCATGCTAGGGGCATGCAAACACACCTGTTTTAAGCGCTCAGAGGGTGGGGCCCCTCAAATCTACCCTGCAGCCCCCCTGGCTGCAGGTCGCTCCATCTCTACTACCCATTCCCTGGACCCTTGGTGAGCACTTTACTGTAAATCCTCACTTGCACAAAGCATTTTCATTTGAAAACTAAAGGCGACCGGGCACCAACTAAAGGCAACGAGTATCCTCGAGCCGTGGTAAACACTGGATTTCAGGCCCATTTTGTGGTCTGATTTGTTTTTGTTTTGTTTTGTTTTCCCACAGAGGCAGAATGTTGGGGCAAAATCAAGCGACCCAATCCTGGCAGCTGGTTCTGTCCCTGCCCCGTGAGAAAAGAACAACGGAATTAGGGCTTCTCGCTGGGGAGAAAGGAGGGTGTGTGCTTCCTGCCAACCAGGACTGTGGTCTCCCTGGCCGTGTGACGTGCCACGAGGCCTCTCTGCTCCTCTGGGAGGTAGGAAGTCACTGTCCCCATCTCCATGCGACAGATTCCATGGCTTGTCTTCAGGTAGCCCTGTGAGGGGCTAGGTTGTGTGTCGGGGGGGTCCTTGTCCATTTTTTGGCAGGGGAAGGGGACAACAGATGAGGCAGCTGCAGGGGAGGACTCTTCCTCCCTCAGCCCTGCTTCCTAAGTGGCCATTCGGGGGCAGAGGGGTGGAGTAAGGGGTACCTGGGAGGAGTCACCCACATCTGGGGGGGCGGATACCCCCAAACAAAGGCGCTGTTCCAGGACAGGCACCCGGCCAGCCTGCTCCTAGAACATCAGCGCTCTCAGGGACTTCTGTTCTCTAGTGCCACTCTCTCACCTAGCTGATGGGGAAACTGAGGCTGAAGATGTGCCATCTTCTCCCCAGGTGGCACAGCGCGTCTCCAGCGGGCCAGGCCTGTGTCCTTTGAACTGGGGCTTGCGGCCCTGACGACCCCTCACGGGGATGGGACTGGAATGAGGCTGACAGGACTCAGCTACCAGGGGTGTGGAGGGTCATGGAGGTGCCCCCCAGAAGCCCCAGGACACATCTCGGAGCACTGCCCAGCACTCAGTGCTATCTTCTAACCTCTTCAGCCTGGGTCTAGGGTGGGCAGCTCCCAGGTTCAATGTGGTGACATCAGAGGGGGTCAGGATTTGGGACTTCCTGTGGGCAGGGGACAGAGGCCCACTCCCCACGCACTGTGGCTGCTCACTCAGGACTGAAAGACGAGCTCTCTGAGAGTGGCTTTGCACACAGGCAAATAGGGTGGTCTGGGCAGGGGGGGTCTGGCCGGCCTTGGGGACACAACCCCTGGGAGCCTTGGGATTCACAGTAATTTAGTGCACTTGTGACCAATGCAGGCTACTCAGCCCAGAGGGCCTCCCGGAGAGGGGGGCCTGGGGACAGCAGTGTGAGTAACACTGTCAGCAAACGCGAGGCCCGGGCCGTGCGGGCCCCTCAGCGGCTCGGGGAGGTGGCGGGCGCTGGCGTCACTGCACGCGGCGGCAATAGTAGCCCAGCACCTTGCACTTCTCACACAGGTGCTGCGGGTGCTCCTTGCTCTGGTCGGACACGTCCAGGCCGTCAGGCTTCTCCAGGGGTCTCTGCGGGAGGCCAGCACAGGGACAGACGCAGAAGCAAGGCCATGGGGAGTCCAGAGCAAGACAGAGGGACAAGTGGAGCACCGGGAGACAAAGAGGGAGAGATCCAGAGACAGGCAGACACACACAGAGAGCAGCAGAGACACAGAGAGACGCACAGAGGGCCAGAGGGCGAGAGAGTGGCACTGTAGTCACCGAGGCGCTGGGAGGGCGCCTGATGACTCGGCCTCCTGCTCCCACTCTGACCCGAGGCACAGGTTGTGGCCCTGGCGGGGAGCGGTCTTGTCCCGGCCCCCGGGCACACAGCTTTGGTCCCATGTCGCCCGAAGCTTACGGGAGTCAGGATGGCTCGGGACAGGGGCTCAGAGACTTCTGGATGAGGTCACTGAGTCCTGGGGCAGGGAGACCCCACCCACACCTGGTTCCCAGCACCTAGTGCTTCTTCCCCGGTGGCTTGTCACTCTCACCCGTGCTCAGGCAGCCTCAGATCTCCTGGCAGGTTCACCCGGGGACTCTCACAGCCCTTCCTTCGTGGGGTGAGTGAGCCCTGAGCTCCTTGGAGTTGGCAGCCAGGGTTCGGATCCTCCCCGCTCCCAGAGCCCGCTGTTTGTTCAGTGACTATGTGAGTGGAATGTCACTGCTTTCTAATAGGGAAACTGAGGCAGGCAGGAGTATATTTCTCATAGACTAGGAATGTCCTTGTCCCCTCTTCCCTTTCTGCCCATCTCAGAAGCCAGCAAACTCCCTGGAAATGCCATGGAGGTTTGAGGAGCACCCGAGCAGGCAGTGACCCCCTCCAGCCACAGCCCCACCTGGGGTCCTGCTCATAGAGGGTCCCCCGCACAGAGGTGGGGGACTCGGAGGAAGCTGGCCGAAGCCAGCTGGGAGCCATATGCCATGGTGAGGGCCGCAGTGGGACAGAGGGATCTCAGATTCCTGTGACATGGCCCAGGTGGTCAGGGAGGGCAGCTGAGGCAGGAGAATGGCAAGTTCGAGGCCAGCCTGGGCAATGTAGGGACTTAGTGAGACTTTTGAGACCCTGTCTCAAAGTAAAAACAATTTTAAAAGGCCTGGGGACTAGGTCAGTGTGAAGGCCCTGGGTTCCATCCCTACTATGGTAACAATCCTCCTGGGTTTCTTCTGATCCAACCCCTCTGTGGTGACAAGGGCTAGAAAGAGCAACACATACGGGAGCTCTGAGCGTTGCTCATGCTTGTTATCAATGGGATGGACACCGCAGGTACAGGTCCCTCTGAGCTGAAGCCAGGCGAGAAGGCCTCAGGAGGTGAGGCTCCCTGCTGTCCCTCACCGCCCCAGCTCGCTGTCCACGCTGTAAGGGCTTCTCCACCTGGAGCTGGACTCGGGGACCCTGCACCATCCTCCTGGAGACCCCCGCCACATGGGCCCTGGGGGCTCTCTGCTCGGCTCCCATAGGACCTCTGACCAGGGCAGCTCTGAAGGTCCCCTCCCCTGACCACCCCCACCCTGGCTCCTGGCCCTTGGTCAGCTGAGTAGTTCTCCTCCTTGGCTGTGACCTCTGTGTCCCAGGGCCTCTGTGTGGGCCCTGACCTGGCTGCCCAGCCCTGCTCAGCCTGCTGCCTGTGAGGAGCTGTGGGGAGCAGTCATGTGAGGGAAAACACGGGCAGCTGGGACTGATCAGTGAGGGCCACCCCCACCCCCTGCAGGGAGGCCAGGCTGAGCAGCGTTTTCTTCTCAGGGGAGGTGGGGCGGGGAGAGGGGAGCCACAGCTGGAGCCTGACAGGAAACAGATGTGGCAGAGGTGGAGTGTGCGGAAGAGCAGGGTTCTCAGGGGAGGCTGCTGCCCAGGTCAGAGCTGGAGAAACCAACCAACCCCTCTCCGCATGGGGGACCTGAAGGCTGGGGCTGACAGAGCTGGCGGGATGAGCTGCTCATGCCCCGTCCCTGCCCCCCGGGCCTCAGTCTCCCCCATGCACACAGTAGCTGCTCAGCAAACATCAGCTGAACAATCGAGAGAGGCAAGAGGGAGCCAAGCGCTCTTGAAAGATCCTTCCAGATTGGGCTCCTGGGCTCCTGGACGCTCGGATCTTGTGGATGGAGGGGGGCTGGAGTAGCCAAGCGGGCAGCCCTGGGGTGATCAGGCAGGATGGGGACTATGGGGGGTGACCCTAGGGATGGCAGTGCAGGGCAGTGACAGGCCTGGCAAGGCGGAAGGGACGCTGGATGCTAGGCCACTGTAGGGAGCTGGATCCTGCTGGCCTTGGGTGCTGAGCGGGCCCTGCCTCTCTGCCTAGGTCACTGGGGGGTTGAGAGCCGCACAACTGAGCCCCAGACCTGCGGTGCAGACTCAAGCAGTGGCCACGAATCTGAGGCCCTGCAGATACCAAGCCATTCCCAGCACCCCAGCCAGCCCCGCTTCCTGCTCCCAGGCCCCCGTCTGGCCCCTTCCGGTCCTTGTTACCCTGCAGCCCAAACCTGGTCCCTCTTCACAAACCCCAGCTTCTCCACTGACCTTGGGGGGACCACTCACACCCTGTGCCTCAGTCTCCTCCTCTGTGAAATGGAGAAACAAAAAGGCCCAACCTCACAGGGTGTCAGGGAGGGCAAACAGGTGGCTGAGCCGGGACACACACAGCAGCCCACTTGGGCTCAGGGCCGGGCACCCAACTCAGCTGACTATTTCCAAATAATCAGAAGTGCCGCCTCCCACTTGGGGACCCCCACACTAACGCAGAGCCCCACGAGCAGGGTAACTGTCTTAAGCTGAAGCCAGAGCCCGTGCTCTCCTGCTCCCACCAGTGCCCGTTGCCCAGGCTCTGGTGACCGTCCTGTTTCTCCGTAGGATGGCCATCCCACTGTGACAGGTCACACCCTCCAAGCGGCTTTCTCTGCCATCTGCCAGCAGGTCCTCTCCAGGTGAACGGGATCGGCCTCGCACCGCCCCGAATGGAGAGCCCCAGTCCGACCTACAGCAGCTGGAGGCCCCCAAGTCCCTGTGGGTGACTCTGTGGGTCACCACCGCCACCCCTCCCTTTGTTTTAAAATACACCTGAGGTCTCTGCTCACGCCATCCTGGTGCCAGTGCCCTTTCCCTCTTACCTGTCCTCAGGAAATGGGCTCTCCCTCCCCCGATCCCATTTCGGATGAGGCAGGGGAAGAAATGACCCAACTGGGGAGAGCTCATCTCACCTTAATTGTATGAAGGAGTGAAATGAGGCCCAATAAGAGAAGGCTTTCCGCAGAGAACGCCCTACCACTGCCGCCCCGCCCCGCCCCATTCCGCCCGGCCCCGCCCCCGAGCCGCCCGGGGCTCACCTGCTTGTGCGGGTACACGTTGATGTGGCACTTGATGCACTCCTGCCCCATGTTGGCCCAGGAGTTCCCGCTCATCCATTTTCTCTTGCACTTGGGACACTTGTACTCGCCAAAGCAGCGCTTTTTGCCCTGGTACGGTGTCAGACCCTCGCCTTTGGGGCGTGCCTGGAGGACAGCAAGCAGACACGGTGGGTTGGGGTCCAGGCGGCCCACATGATGTCCCCATGGGGTACTCATTTGTGCGTGGATCTTTTGACCCAACCTAGAGAGTGCCAAGGTCACCTCCAGGACTCCCTCCTGGGAACCCCAACACGCCCCCCCCACAGAACAAGGAGGTGGGGGACATCTTGAGGGAGGGAGGTACCCAGTGATGCAGGTGTCACAAAGGGTAGCTGATGGTCACAGGACCTGCACACAGCGGGACAGTGCAGGCACAGACACTGGTGTGCGGTGAACACGAGTCACTTCTCACCTCCCTCCCAGCCCCAGCCCCCCCACTTTCGGGGACCCCGACTTCTCTGCTTGCACCCCAAAGGCCAGGCAGGCTCTGCATTCACACTGGACAGGGCCTGTGTGGCTACACTCATGCCCCTCATGTGGGTGCAAACATCGCACCTCTGGCTCCTGGCTTCCGGTCTTTGTCTCCCCGTCAGCATAACACACAGGGTGGGTGGCCGTGCACAGGATTGGATTTCGAGCAGGTTTGGGGGGCGCGTTTACCAGGCAGCATTTCAGAAAGTGTAGGTCGCTTTCCTTTCTTCCGTGGTTATGAACAAGGCCACCACGACTGGCTGATCCGTGCACACATTTGAGTATATCTGCAGGATCCTTTTGTAGCAGTGAAACTGCTGCACCCAGGGCATGTGCACTCTTCAGTTGGAAAGATCACACCTCCATCCTGCGCATGCACACCAATTTCATATCCCATCACCTCCCTCACAGAACTTTAGTCACAGTAACAGCCTTAACTACAGGTTTGCTTTCCATGATTTCGTCTGCCTCAGTTTGTTTTCAGTTATCACTGGTCAACTGTATGTCAAATGGAAAATTCTACAAATGAACAATGCAAGTTTTGAATTGCACAACAGGTCTGAGCACATAATGAAGTCTCCATGGGTGGCACGGGACTCACCCTTTGTCCAGGGCATCTGTGCTGTTGAGGCTGCTGCCCCTTAGTGTGGCAGTGCTGGGTTCAAGAAGCCCTAGCACTTGGGAGGCTGAGGCAGGAAGATCGCTGTAAGTTTGAGGCCAGCCAGAGCTACATAGTGAGATTGTCTTAAAAAACCAAACATAAATAAATAGGTGAAATGCTTGCTAGTTTTGCTGTTGCAACTCAAATTGCAAAAATTATGCAATTTGCAATAAAATAAGTGCATTAAGAAATTAGTTAAGACAGAAAAGGCATTAAATCACAGCATCTGGTACTATCCATGGTTTCAGACATTCATTGAGGGGCCTGGAATGTATCTCCTTCAATAAGGGAAGACTGTGGTATCACCAAGCTAAAAGGTAGAAAATCCCAGAGTAGCTTTGACTTGTGTGTCTTTTATTATGAGAAAGAGGGAATTTCCCCATTATTTAAGAATCATTTGTGTTTCCTTTGTGAACTCTTTGTTCATCTTCTCTGTGGGTTTTCTTTTCCTGATGGGGGCTTGATATTTTTTCTTATTGATTTGTAACTACACTTTCTATATTAAAGAAGCTTGTTCTATCTTGGAGTGTTTTAAAACCAGCTTTATTGAGATATGATTTGCATATCCCACACTTAACCCGTTTGAAGTGGGCGGTACACAGAGTTGCACACATATCACCGCAATCTAATGTGAGAACACTGCATCACCCCCTAAAAGTAGACCCGTGGTCACTAACAGTTTTCAGTGTACCTCCACATTCTCACAGCACCTGGCCCTAGCCAGCCAGTAATCTATTTTCTATCTCTATAGATTTATGTATTTTAGAAACTTCATGAGTGGAGACATATAGTACATGTTTTTTGTGTCTGGCTCCTTTTACCTAATGTAATACTTTCAAGATTCTTTCATGCTGGAGTGTGTGTCAGGAGCGCATTTCATTTGTTGGGGAGGGGCACTGGAGACAGGATCTCACTGTATATTCCAGGCTGGCTTTGAACTCACTATGGAGCCCAGGCTAGCCTCGAACTCACAGGGATCTCCCAAGTGCAGGGATTACAGATGTGTGCCACCACCAGTGTCCCCTTCTCTGGGTCACCACTGTCCTCAGTGGCTCAGTGTTTCACATGTGCCATCTCATCTTCTATGGTGGTGATGTCCATTATCCTTGCAGGGTAAGTTGCCCAGGATACCAGAGGTAGGCGTTGGACCCAAAATCTGTGCTCTTTTTTCCCCCAGTGGTGGAGATTGAACCCAGAACTTCACACGTGCTAGGCAGAGGCTCGGCCAATGAGCCACACCCTGGCCCTGCAGAGCACATGCTTTGACCACCATGTACTGCTCTGTGAGTGGGCAATTACCCAGGGAAGCTGCTATGACAAGATCATCTCATAACCAGGGCTTCTCAGGCTTCACTGCCTGCAGTTTCCCTGGGGCTTGTATCAAATTCAGATTCTGATGCCAGGGATCTAAGGTGAGCTTTTCCAGCAAGCAATCAGGTGTTGCTACTGGCCTGGCTCCACGCTGAATTGTCATAGCACGGAGCCTATTTCTATGTGACATCGCCTATTCTCAAGTATTAAAGTAGCTGACCCCAACTTTTAAAGCACTGCAGTGTGTATACAAATGCACTTAGCCGCTTCCTTTGTAATAGCCAAAAATCAGGAACAACCTGTGTCCAGCATCCTAGAGATGGAGAGATAAAACATGGCATAGCCATGCAATGGAATATTATTTGGCATCAAAATGCGATGAGGGCTAGGCATGGTGGCACATGCTTGTTATCCCAGTATTCGGGAGGCTGAGGCAGGAGGGTCATTATGAGTTTGAGGCCAGCCTTGGCTGTGTAATGAGTTTAAGGGCATCCTGGACTATGTAGTGAGACCCTGTTTCAAATGCCAAAATATCTGTCTCAAAAAAAGTAAAAATAAATACTTTTTTAAAAAGGTGACACAGAAGTATTTGTATCATTATAATTGTTTCCTTACATAGTGCAACAATGGTATATAAAATTTAATTTCTTCTTTTGGTAACCTTTCTCTCTCTCTCTTTCCTTCCTTCCTTCCTTCTTCTACCTCTTGGTGACAGCCTGCTAGAATTCCTGGAAGAATACTAAATAAGGTGACCCTTGTGCCGCGGGTATAGATCCAGGCTTGGAAAGAGAGCAGTGCCACCTAACGTCTTGGGATCCTTGATGGACGTCCTGGCAGAGCAGCATGGGGAGAAGGTCCTGTCCCTCTCCCCGAAGGTCTGAGATGCCTGTGACAGTGACAGGAAGGGACACTCAGTACAGTCAGGACCTGGCCTAGTCAGTGTGGGCAGAGGGTCATCCTGTGTTCCTGTGGGTTCCCCTGAGCCCTGTGCTGTGCCATCTCCCCAGGGGCCTGGCACCCGGCTCCTGGCAGCCTTCCTCCTGTCACCATCCTGTAGCACAGGGGCCCTTCTAAGGGTGTTCAGCATCCATTTTACCCCATCAAAGGTGATGAGGGAGCAGGCAGGGGCTGTGCCCACAGTGGGCCCTGTCCCCAGGCAAGCTGCTCCAGGACCTGGCTCCCTGCCTCACACAGCAGGGGCAAAGGGCGGGGGTCAGGGTATCAGAGGGAGGGGTCAAGTCATCCGTGCAAAACGTGCGGACCAGGCAGGGTTAGACACAGGTCTCAGGGTCTAGGAAGCCTCTGCTTCAGTAACGAGTGGGAAAGAAACATAGCCAGGGAATGGGGTGCAGAGGGGACAGTGGGGGAGAAGCAGGAAGATAGAAGGGGTGAGACAGGGACTGGGGCCCTCCTGGGGGTGAGACACTGGGGGTGGCCATTCCCACAGCCGCCCAGCCAGGCCCTGGGCAGCCCCGCACTGACACCCTGTCACAGGGAACCGGGCTCAGATCCGGGGCTCCAGGGCCAGGTGCCCGAGTCACAAAGCCACTCTGCCTGTAACCACATGGGGGGACTCAGGAAGTCACTCAATGTCTCTGCATCCAGGGGCTGGAGGATGACCAGGAGCTGCCTCCCTGGCTGTCGGGAGGATATGGCGCTGCCCGTCCAGCAAGGGATTTGCTCAGAGACCATGCTGCACAGGGGAGGGATGAAGGCCCTGGAGGTGACAAGGAAGCCAGGGCTGTGACCTACAGGCACCAGCTGGAAGAGGAAGGTCCCAGAAATGGGAGCAAGGCTGGGTTAGGTGGGGTCTCTAGCCATGGATTGGGGGAGAGGGTATAGCAAGCCAGAGCAGGAGCAGTGTGAGGCATCCTTGTCTTCTAGATTCTCATGGAAGGACCAGGAAAGGTGAAGGGAGGCTGCTGAAGCTTGGAGACAGGGCAAGAGGAAAGAAAATGGGTATTTGTGTAGCACCACCCATGTGCTGGGCTTTATGCCCAGGGCTCCCTGATTGCCAGGTTCCCATCCAATGCTTCCCAGAACCCTACAGGGCAGGAAAATCATTCAGCAGCTGGTGAAACTGAGGCCCAGGAGAGGGTGGGACTTGTCCAAGAGCATCCACATGTGTGGGGCGGGAAAGGCTGAGCAGGCTCCTCTCCAAGGCCACCCTTGCTGCCACTTCCATCTGCCACCCCCCAGTGTGTCCCCTCCATGACGCTCTGGCCTGTTCGAGGGAAAGGAGGGCTCCCAGCTGCAGGAACTGCAGGAGAAAATCCCTAGGGCCTCCTGCCCTACCCACCCCAGCGTCAGAGGGGACAGGGCCTGCGGGGCAGGCTAGGGAGGCCGTGGAAGGAGGGGACTGCAGGCAGTGAGAAGCCACTTCCCGGAAGGCTCTGTCATTGGGCCCAGTGTTGATTATGCTCATCCACGAGGGCAGGGCTGCAGAGAGAGGGCATTTTCACAGAACAAAGGCATCCCTGCCCCCCATCCCTCCTCCCAGAAAGGCAGGGCCTCTCTTCATAAACACCAGCACAAAGCACAGTCGCTGCGGACAGCTCAGAGGGGCCAGCACCAGCCCTGAGGGACGCCAGGCCCCAGCAGGCTGGCTGACCCAGGCCCCTGCCACATAGGCCCCTGGGGAATCCCATCTGCCGGAGCCCAG